CATGTGCCTTTTGATCATTTGTATGTCTTCCTTGGAGAATTGCTTGTTTAGGTCTTTTGCCCATTTTTGGATTGGGTTGTTTGGTTGTTTCTTATTAAGTCATATGAGCTGCTTATATATTCTGGAGATCAAGCCTTTGTCAGTTTCATCTGCAAAAATTTTCTCCCATTCCGTAGGCTTTTTGTTTTACTTATGGTTTCCTTTGCTGTGCAGATGCTTGTAAGTTTCATTAGGTCCCATTTGTTTATTCTTGCTTTTATTTCTATTGCTTGAGTAGACTGTTCTAGGAGAACATTTTTGAGATGTATGTCAGATAATGTTTTGCCTATATTTTCTTCTAGGAGGTTTATTGTATCTTGTCTTATGTTTAAGTCTTTGATCCATTTTGAGTTGATTTTTGTGTATGGTGTAAGGGAGTGTTCTAGCTTCACTGCTTTACATGCTGCTGTCCAGTTTTCCCAACTTCTCTGTGAGGCCTGGCTATGCAACCAACTGCTGAAGTGGTTTTTTATTTGCTTTCTGAAAGAAATAACTTCATAATCCTCATAACTGAGGTGATCAGAGTATAAAACTAAGGTTTCTTATAATCTGAATACTAGGATGAAAGATCCCATCTGGATGGAAAGTGCTAAAAAGGGTATATAGTACAGTATTTCATTTCTTTTATTATAATAATAACTATTATTTTATTTGTATATAGACATGGAAGTTAGCAATACTTTTCCAAAGACTGCACCTTTTAGAAAGGGGCAAACAGCAGAAAAAAGCCATGGACTTTAGAGGAAGGTATGCCAACCACCTGCCATGGCTCCAATTCACTGTTGACACTTTCTCCTGGCATAATATGAAATCAGATATGCCCAAAAACCCAGCCCACAGGGACTTACACATGAGAAAAGGAAAAAGTGAAGCTACTTTAAATTGTTTAGGAATATGACATACACAAAGATGAAAGTACATAAGTCAAATGTTAATAGCAATACATAATAAAAATTCATATCCTCATAATGAGTTTAGATATATGACAAATGATAAATGAAAAAACCATTAGTAGATAATGTCTCCCCTCCTTTCTCTTGAAAAGTAGGAACTAACAAAGTGATCAGGCTTTATCTAATTTCCCCAAA